ATGTATATCTATCTATATATATATACACACCTACATACCTATGTCTGTCTGCACGTCTGTCTGCACAGACAGACAGACAGACCGACCGACCGACAGACCGACAGACCGCCAGACCGACCGACCGACCGACCGACCGACAGACAGACAGACAGACAGAGACACACAGAAGCATACATACATTTCGTGCATGCATGCATGCATGCGTACATACATACAAAGATACAAGGTTACAAAGATACATGAATACATCGATACAAACATAGATACATAAAAAGGTACATGCATAGCATGCATGCATGCATGCATGCATACACACATACACACTACCTACATATGAGGGCAAGGGCTTGCACTGGGGCCTTAACATACTTTGAACTTGGAACAGGATACTGGTGTGTGTGTGTGTGACTTTAGTTAGTTTCAGTATCGAGGCACCGCGAGAAGAGTTCAGACCGATGGATTAGGCCAGTCTCACCCGTAACCTCCGAAGGTAGGATAAACTTCTTCCAAATGTAGGCGGCTAATTGCCTAACACGGGGCGCCTGAGCCCCTACCTAGCAGCTGCAACACGAAAGCCTTATATTAAACCCCAAACCCCATAGAATGTCCATGCACTCATAGGCCCTTTGAGACGGCCTCGCCTCGTCAGCCGCGTCACTGGGTGCAGCCCGGGGCGCGACCTGCTTTAAAAACCCGAGCTGAGGGGCCCCAAAGGGGTTTGGATTTATAGGTTTAGGGGTTAAGGTGTCGGGTTGAGGGATTCAGGGTGTGTGGTTTAGAAGAAAGGTTTAGGAGTTTAGGGTTCTGGATAGCTTTTTCGTTGAACGCTCACTTTCCACTCGGATAGTTCCAAGCTTAGACATTCGAGCTTGCGAGGCTCCTCAGCCGTCACAAGCCATACTGTGCAAGGTCATGCGCAAGTGGTGCACCTTAAGGTAAACGTAGGGTCGGAAGGATTAGAGACAATATCCCCTTGTCGCCCACATACTACATCCCCAGCATAATGCACCCCCCAAAACCCTGTTCTATTGTCGAGGCCGCGATATTGTTATAGAGCCCTTAATAGTACCCTCCTCTCCCGGCCTTCTTGGGCGCAGCCCGGGGCTGTCTGTCTGGAATCAGAATCGGCTCTGCTCGGTCGGGCGGTACTTCGCTCGAAGCCTCCTCGGTCTAGGGAAGGGCTTATCGTCGAGGGCTGAGGGTTTGGGGTTTAGGGATTTAAGGCCAAGCATTGAGGGTGCCAGGTTAGGGGCTTAGGGCTTTTAGTTAAGGTTCCGGGCTTAATATAGGGGCCTTAATAAATTGAATAGGGTTTTGGGGCCCATTCTTCTATAATTATCATAAGGACCCCCCCCCCAAAAAAAAAAAAATAAATAATATAGGAAATTGTTAAGGCCCCTATATTAGGGTGCCAGGTCTATAGGGTTTAGGGGTTCTAAAGTTAAAGACCTTAGGGCTTTGGGGTTTCCTGTCGCTGAAAAGACCTACAGCTCCAGGGTTCCTTGTTCTGGTTTCTATCCAAAGTTCCTTAACGAGGTTCCCCAGTAACTCCTTAATGATAAGGGTACCCTTTTTCCTAATAGTCGGCTTCAATAAAGAGATCCCCAAATGAAAAGGGCAAAAGGGTACTACTGCGGAACCTAGTCAAGAAGCCTGATTAAAGCCAAGAAGACACCCTAAACCCCCAGGTTCCTACTATATAGGGTTCTAGAGCCCCTAGGGCCCTAGATAGTAGGTACCTGGGGGGTTAGGGACAGATCCTACTCAGCTTTCAAAGGCTCCAGGATTTCCACAGCTTTGTCGGACTTGCAGGCCGTTCTTAAGACTGGGTTCTTGTTAAGGGATTTAACTTAAGTTACCAAAAAATAAGGAAACCATATTATTCACTATAGATCCCTGTTATGGTAGCTTAAATTAAATCCCCTAACAAGGACCCAAACCCCTAAAGCCCTACACCCCTAAACCCCCCAAAAACCTTACACCCTAAAGCCTTAAACCCCTAAAGACCCTAAAACCCTAAACCCTAAAACCCTAAGGACCCAGAAGAGGGCCCCACGCCTCCGGCGAACTTCACGGGGGGGAAGCCTCTACTTCAGGGTCGCGCGTCTCGCTGAGGAGGGGTCGTGGCTGGCCGTGGGCTGAGGAATTACGCCGTAGAGTTCCTTTTCGTCGTAAGTCTTTGCGTTGATCTCAGACCCGAAGGAAAACTGGAGCTGAGACCTATGCAGGAAAAGTAGCTCAGGGCCAGGGTGTTACAAGACTCCCTGCGCTACTATCTTGGATCACCGCCGGTCGAGAATCCTTGTCGGCATCCATCTTCGGAGTTTCCGTGCAGGTCGTTGCCGCAGGGTCCTAAACTCGTGGGACAAGCGCTAAACTGGCTTTCGGAGTATTTTGTGCGAAGAAGGCTTCAAGCCCTAAGCCCTAAGCCCTACAAACAATGACAATTTATGAAGACGGAACAACATCATGACCTGTTTAGGCTCGAGACGTCTCTCCTCAACTCTGGGCTTTGGCTTTGGGTGCTTCAGACAACTCGGAACTTTAGGGTTTAGGGTTTTAGGGTTTAGAGCTCAGGGTTCAGACAGAACAAGATCCTGAGCATTCGCTTTTCATGAAGGAATTTCAATAGTTTATCTGTGTTTGCATGGCGGGCACTTCAGCAAACATGATGCACCCGAATATAGTTGTGAGCCCAGACCCTCAAGGTTGTGGCTAAGTCTTTCTGCAGGTGCCTGGTGTTGAACGCTTCCCAATCCGCAAAGCATCTTTCGCAACGAGTCGCAAGGTGCGCCGACAGCTTACCGCTTTGGGTGTAGGATTTGGGTCTCGGACTTAAATAGGAAGTCTAGGATTCAAGATTTGGGAGGCCAGGCTTTAGGATTGCCCAAGCAGCTCGCCGCCGCTCGCACGGGGCAGCATCAGAGAAAGCGACCAGGCAACGCTTCCACCACGATTGCCTGGGGCTTTCAAGTCCTACACACATCCTAATCCCTGTCAGACACCTCAACACCCTAAACCAGGTCTGTACAGTCTTCAACTTCAGAGTACGCCGATATCGATTCCGGGGCTCGTATCTGTTATGCTTCAACAACTCAGTGGGCATACAAAGGGCTTATAGGGGTTTAAGTTTCAGGGTCCGGACTTCTGAGCCCTTTCACCACTGAACTCCTGGGGTCTATGTATGTTTGTATGGATGGCCGTGTGCACGCATGGATGCATGTATGCATTGATCTATTCCCTTTTGCATCGTTAACCTGCTAGTTCATCTATTTGCTCATATATTCGAGGAAGCCTGGCTTTCACAATACGCCGTTCAAGACCCTAGCTAGAAGAACATATGGGGGTTTCCGAAAATAGGGGACCAAAACATAGTACCCTAAATAGTAGGATCCCTATTATAAGGACCCCAATATACGGTACCCCTTATTCTCGGAAACTCCCAATATGTCTCTCCCAGGAATTTGTCTGGCTTTAGCCAAGCGGCAGGTTCTTCCAGGATGTACCGACGCGCTCGGAACGTATGAAGTCAAGGCTGTCGGAGCTGGCAAGGGGTTCATGTAGGGTATAGGTATTAGGTTTTGCAAGCCCATAACGGGTACTTTAGGGTTCTACAGTAGTGTCCCCTTGAAGGGCACTATGGGATTCCAGAATAGGATCCCCTTAAAGGCAAAGTTTCAGGGAGTCCTGCTTGAGGATTTGGGGCTTAGGGGTCTGAACCTCCGGGTTCGTAGGGCTTAGCAAGGGACTTACGTACAAAAGAAGACAGAAATTGATCGATCCAGGCCTCCAGCCTATAGAGTTTGGAAATGAAGCTCTGTACGGTGTAGAACAGCGGATGGCTCTGCAGAAGGGTTTCTTGACCCCTTCATCAGTGGAGGTCGTCAATCCTCTAACGGTACGAAAAGTGAACCAAGTGATCGTCCGCTTGGCTATAAACCTGACTATCATTACGGGTGATGCTAGCAGCTGCTAGCAAAGGTCACTCGCAAGAACAACTTCACATCGCGACAAACAGTATTGATAACTGGTACATCGTAACAGCAGCCTCCTCGTAACGCAAGCCCTCACAACATGTTCACGCGCGACGCCTGTAGTGATACCGCGCCGAAACGTCTGTCATGACACAATACTCCTCGGTTCAGCACCGACTGTTGTGGACTTGACGGGCCGAGGATTGCAATTGGTCAGTCTATGCGCAATGACTGACATTTCACACGAAAAGAAGACAAAAAGCGACTGCACTGCCGAGTCACGCCCCCCTTGAGGGTGTCGTCGGCTGCACACAGCAGGCCTTGGAAGACGAAGAAAGCTTATGCTAATCCTCGCATGCAAATATTCCTATCTCCCTCCACCGTCAGACCTAGATCTGAAAGCCTCGTAAACTAAAGAAACCTAAATGGGAGTTTCCGAAAACTAGGGGGTACCTTGTTTTGGGGACCTTATAATAAGGATCCTACTATTTACTGTACTATTTTAGGGTCCCCGATTTTCGGAAACCCCCCAAATGAAGAACGCGAAAGTCACATGATGCGTAGACATCCTCAGCTTGCCAGTTCCTGAGCCCTTGAGCCCGAACTCTCCGGGAAAGCCGAAATTCTAAGCCGATTTGCCCATGGAATCATGGGGTGACAATGCGTTTAATATAGGGTTTTGATGATTAGAGCAGGGTTTTGGGGTATGTTATACGATAGCTACAGTCGTTACAAACATTGCCACTGGACATTTCAGTCCGTGTATGGGCACTTGCGAATCATCTCTACAGCACCTTATCGGCTCCAAGAGCACATGATCCAGACAGCAGCACCAAGAAATGCTGTGCGGAGCACATGCTGCGCAGCAGGGAAAAGGGAGAGAGGCAAAGGGCGAAAGAGGGAGTGCAAGAAAGGGAGAGGGAGAGAGAGAGAGAGAGAGACAGACAGAGGGAGAGAAAAAACACAGATAGTGATGATTGAGCGAGAGAGAGATAGCGAGGGAAAGAGAGAAACAAAGAGAGCGAGAGAGAGAGAGAGAGAGAGACACAGAGAGAGATAATAAAAAAACGAAAGAGAAATATAAAGAGGAAAGGAGAGAGAAACATAGATAAGGGAAGAGACAGATCGAGAGAGAACGAGACAATAACAAAGACAGAGACTGAAACCGAGACTTACCGACCGACCGAAACGAATAATATGCTGCAGGGCCTTAACCTAATCCCCATGCTCTGATTGCAGCACGTCCGACTTGCCCGAAGCCCCAACATCCCACAGCCGATGTTAGGCATCTCCAAGCACTCACGAAAGAGCTCGACCCCCAAGCCCTAAGCCCCTGAAACACTTCACTGCAAGCTCTCAATCAGAAAACCCTATACCCCATGTCCGCAGTCTTCCGACATCCAAGACACCGGTGGATACCGCGTACTCATAAAGCCAAGATTTTCGGGGCCGCTTCGTGACCAAAGAAGAAGCCTCGGGAGGAGTTGGGGAGTAGGCCTTTGGGCGTTGGTTCAGGGGCTTTGGGTTTAGGGCTTTGGGGTTTTATTTCGAGGTTTAGGATTTAGGGCAGTTTATGGTTGATGGGTCACAAAACCCACTGGCCTTGAGCCAAAATGGACCCCCAAACCCCGACTTTTCCCCAGAGCCCTACCCCCTAACTAAACCCTCAACTCTCTCCCTTCGGGCCAGTCTCAGACGAGGGCACAACTAACGCTTGTCAGCATTTGGGGTTCTGCCTGGACCCTTAAGAACCTCCCTTGTAACTCTCAACCATAACCCCACACCACGCGCCTCCGTTAACAGAAGCATACTAAAATCGAGACCCAGAAGTCTGCCGACGAGATTCCAGGTCGGCGGCATACCTCGGTCAACTCAAGCTGGGAGCTCGGTTTAGGGTCTACCTATAGTCTCCATTGTAGTTCCTTTTTGGGGTTACAATGGAGACTATAGGTAGGGTCTTGCGGCTTTCAGGGTTTACTGTAAGGGTTTAAGGGTTTAGCGAGTGGATGTAAGGGTTTAGGGGTTTAAGGGCTTAGGGTCTTGCGGCTTTGAGGGCGTATTTTAAGGGTTTAACGATTTGATATAAGGGTTCAGGGGTTTACGAGTCCACATGCACGACAACAACAAGTACGGAGATCACAGGGGCACAAGGAGGCTACAGGAAGACAGGAGCTGAATCCTTGATCCTAGACTGCCGAGGCCTACATTGCGACTCCGAATGCCGCGAGCCTCTCACCGGAGCAAAATTTACAAAAGCCCGCCTTACATATCATCAAGGCCCAAAACTCTGAATACTATTTTCGACAGCCGGCTCCATCAACCCGGAGTCGTCACCCAAAGAGAACGGCAGCAACAATTCTAGAGCCCCAACCGAGACACATTCTGTCCTTCGGCGCTAAGGGTGCATGCTTAAGGCTTAGGGCATACAGCCATGCAAAGGCTGTAGAACGCCGCTGTATGGTTTCTTCGCTGGATACATGAACTACGCTGGAAGGACAGCAGTGTTAATTGAGGCGCCTGAGATTTGGGCGTTCGTTTCTTTTTTAGCTTTTGTTACATTATATTATCCTGAACCCGGAGCTAGCCCTTGTGTTGTCAACCGGTCCGCCAAACCTGAACCTTCGGCTTTGGCAAAACTAAACCCCAAAGCGTGGACCCTGAGCCCTGCTACCTAAACTCTGCTGTTTTGCCGACCCTTGATGCGATTTCGCCGAAGGGCCAATTGCTGCCCTCGTCCTGTCAGCAGGGGGCTACAGCTCATCTACCTTATGCTTACCAAGAATCTACGGCTTGGTCTATGCTAGGGCCCTTGTTTTTTGTTTAGAAAATTGCCACCTAGAGGCCTGGGCCACTGGTGCAGGATTTGGGTTTAGGGTTTAAGGCCACCATTGAACAACAGCAACAACAGGAACAACAACAGTATCATTAATGAACATAAACAAGGAAGAGCCCCAAGCAAAGCAGCAACAACAGTAATTAACAATAACAGCACTACAGATAACGCAATACCACCGCCGCCGCCGCCGCCGCCGCCGCCGCCGCCGCCACCGCCACCGCCACCGCCACCACCACCACCACCAACAGCACCAACAGCACCAACAGCAACAACAACAGCAGCAGAAACAGAAACAACAACATCATCAACAGCATCGACAACAATGTCACCATCACAAGCACCACCATCATCATCAGGAGCAGCATCATTCGCATCCTCACTTTCATCCTCCTCACCATCATCATCGGAAGCAGCATCATTCGCATCCTCACTTTCATCCTCATCACCATTGTCTTCAGCACATCAACATCCTCCGACTTCTCCTCACCCTCACAATCACACTCATCATCAAAATCATCACCATCATCGTTATCATCATCGCCAGCAGCAGCAGCAGCAGCAGCAGCAGCAGCAATAGCAGCAATAGCAGCAACAGCGGCACCAGCAGCAACAGCAGCAACAGCAGCAACAACAGCCACAGCTTTTTGTTATTAAAACCGCAATCATCACAATGCAACAAACAAAAACATACGAGATGAACACACATCAAATGTCAAAACAGCCACAGCAGCAGCAGCAGCAGCAGCAGCAACAGCAGCAACAACAACAACAACAACGACAACAACGAAGAAGAAGCGGTACCTCGCCAGCTACCACCACCACTACCACTGCCATCACAGCTACCACCAAGGTCATAGATTGCTAAGAATGGCAGTAATAACAATATGCCTGTCACAACAGTAACTCAATATCCTTCAACTCTGATCTCTGTGGCTTCCATGATTACTGTGTGTTCTGTCATCCCCTCGTCATACAAGGGGTACATATGGCAACGCTTAATAATGATTCGCTAATGACGAAAGACTTCCCTTTATAAGTCAGGAATAAGTCTATTGCCCGGTCTTGGGCCTTCCGCCGCGCAAGGAGTTGGCAAGATACTTGGCGAAGTCCCCAATGTAGGGGCTTGAATCATTAGACCAGGGTGCGGGAGAGGGCTATACTCTACAATTCTATTTGGCCCTGAGGAATCCTGTTACAAATTAAGGAAGCCCCTGTAAACACCGTAAGATTTCGAGCTCAGGGCGTTCACGGTTGTGATCCCCAAAAGATAAGCCATCCTGAATCGAAGATCAAGGCCTCAATCATATCAAGAGGGTCTTGGGGTATCTTGTACTAAAACCATAACAAGAAACCCCAAAATCGTATTTGTAATTCTTCAGGCCCCTATACTTCCCTATACATTAACCAGACAAGGATTGGGAGGCAAAGCTCTTGCAATATCAACACTGGGATCAAACAAGAACCAAAAACCGGGACCAGTCCATAGGCTCGAAGACTGCACTCAAGAACTACCTTGAATCCTCAACACGCATCCTAAAGCCCTAAGCCGCAGCAACGCTGTAAAGGTCCCAATACCAAAAAAAGTTCAGCCTAAAACCTGAACACCCAAAGGCTCAAACCCAAAAAGCATCAGGCCCTGAGGCCCCCTCATTATGCAACCAACGCCCCACTCCCCAAGTCTCCAAACCCTTAACCCTAAACGCCCTATGAACTCTGAACTCTAAACCCTAAACCCCTAAACTCTAAACCCTCAGCTCTAAGCCCCTACAAATAAACTCTAAACCCCTAAACTCTAATTAAACCCTAAACCGCTAGACTCTAAACCCTTAAGCCCCTAAATCCTAGGCCCTTTACCCTAAAGGTCTCGTAAACCCAATAACCCAAAACCCTGAACCACAAAGCCAATAAGCCTCAGCCCTAAACCTTAAGCCATAAAGCCAAACACCCTAACTTAACCCCTAAACCCCTAAACCCTAAACCCCTAAACCCCAAACCCTCAATCCCAAAACCCCACCCTAAACCCTAAAGGGGTCCAGGATCTCCACCCAAACGCCCGCGCGAGCGGTCGCGGCGTCCAAGGGGTTGGCGTAGCCGTGGACGGCTGCGAGAGAGGTTTAGGGGTTTAGGGTTTAGAGTTTAGGCCTTTAGGGTTGAGGGTTTCATTAGAGTTCAGGGGCTTAGGGTTCATAACTTAGGGGTTTAGGGGCTTTGGGGTTTTAGGGTCTATAATATATTAGGGTTTGAGGGTTTTCGGGACTTGAGGGCCTCGGTTCTAGGGGTTGGGAGCCGATCGGGTTGTGCAGGATCTCAAGGCTTCGACTATCATTTCAAGCTGAGGTTGTGGTTTAGGGTTTAGGGTTTGGGGTTTGGGGTCTAGGCTTTAGGGTTTAGGGTTTTGTGCTTTGGGGTCTAGGCTTTAGGGTTTAGGGGGTTAGGTGTGGGCTTAGGCGGGCTCATGATCTCAGGAATGTCAGGCGGAGGGCTCGGATTTGGGTGTCGGCCCCTGAAAGTACGTGCATCTATGTACAAGTGTACATACCTAGATACGCGCAAACACCTTTTCATATGCATAGGCATAGATCTCTACAGTATATGGAGAGAAGACAGAGAGGGAGAGAGAGAGTGAGAGAGAGCGTGTGTGTGTATGTATATATATATATACACACCTACATACATATATGAGACAGCTGTGCAAAGCTATGTTCCTATATGTGCACATTACACCACCGGAGACCGCAAACAGTTCCCAAACAAAGGGGGGACAAGGGGAGACAAGCAGCGATTTCAGCAAACTGTTTGCGACGAAAGCCTAAGCATATACCGACACACATACATGAGAACACAGCAACAACATTTCATACGCTTTAAATTGGGACGTTTTGTCATCTTAACTTACGGATACATTGTTAATATTGCACATTGCATTGAAACCGCATTCTGCATTTGTTGCGAAGCTTTCTTATCTGGCCAGGGAGTCTACGCGAGTGTCTACACTAGACTGTCACATCAGGCAGTGCCACGTTGGGGGGTTGAAGGCAGAGTAGGGCTTTATAACGTTCTCAGAAGGAGCACCCCTAGATTCGGGAAGCCTGCAACTTCCTCCTACAACTTCGCTCTCGGCTTTGCTGCGAGCCGCACGTGTCTGTGCCTCCTAGACTCCTAGGTGTATCTGATCTGCGGTAGGCTGCTATACTGGGGCGTTTTACGTATCCTATAGCTAGAGCCATCCTAATTCTGAGCCATCTCCCAATCAACTCATAACCTTAGTTTCGGTAGCCTCGAAGTGCAAAATTGGGCTTGTGTTATGTCGCATTCAGGAACAAAAAGTCGGATCCCAACCCAAATATCTGTATTACATCTTACATATCTAATCTCTATTATGGTATCCTACACTACATACGCTCCTTAAGCAGGAGACTGGCCCAGGAACATCTCGGTATTCAAGTTGTCGAAAAAGGTTTCAGCTTTGGCAGCAAGACCAACGACGACCAGCGGTCGCCTCTTTGCTCGCCAAGTCCGTCAGCTGATCCTAGAGGTTAGGTGTTCGAGAGGGTCAACTTTCTGGGAACGGGGGGCCGCCTTCGGCATCTTCCTTCGTCGATTCCTCCTCTCGCCTTATTGGTTTCGGCGCTTGTTGATATCACTGCAATGGTGATCTCGGTCATGAGTCATGGCCACCGACAGACTCCGCGACGGAGCTGTGCACGAGGCGATGCTCCATGTTCTCGAGCAAGAACAGCAGCCGAAGTGCAGGAATTCACCGCCTTCTGCCATTCTATAACCGACCCTGATAAATGCCTCCAAAACCCTGATAAAACCGTGGAACCCAAATGAAAATAGCGAATAAGCACTGTAATTCTGTAAAGAACCGCATAGAGCCATACAATACTACAAACCCCGTAGAACCATGATCAAATCTTAGGGTTACCATAAAAGCCCTACATGCAACTCTGCGCTCTGCCTAAACCCCTAAAGACCCTAAACCCTAAACACCCTCATACCCTGCCTGCAATATCCACGGCTTTCTGCCATGTGGGCGGCAGGCCCTGGCCAACAGGAAGAACATTATAAAAGGGATTAAAGGGTTTAGGGTTTAAGGGTTTAGGGTGCATCGTAATATGATTAAATAGTTCTTAGCAACAAACAGTCGTAATCATCATCATCATACGAAAACTGACTTATTTCAGTCCTAAGACTGTTACTACAAAGATAGTAGAAATCATCAATCGCAGGGGTCCCTACTGTTGGGGTGCCCACTGGAGCGCAAATCAAGACTTATGAAGGTTAGGGCTTACAGTTTGCGGTGGTTTCAGGCCAGAGAAGAACGCCAACTGAAATATTCAACAAAAAATACTCTGTCGACCTGAAGCGTGTGTGTGTGTGTATCTATACATATATATGTATATATGTAAAGAAACACACACACACATATATATATATGTATAATAAACAAATAAATAGATACATATATATATATATAGATGTATGAGCTTTCGGCATGAGTGCTCATGGTTTCTGGAGCTCCGAAACCTTAGTCATTCACTGCATGCACCGGGGAACAGCATGCCTAGACTCCCAAGGAAGCCAACGTGTAGTTGAGTATCAGTACGTAAGCAGAAGACACAACTTCGGGTTTAGGGCTTAGGGTAGAATGCTCAAGTAGCACAGGCTAGATACAAGCTGCTCACAGAGCCGTCCATGAGAAGCTTTCTCGCCCGGAGCCTTTGCTTCCATCTCCAGCGCCAACGCAACGGCGGATTCGACGCCGATTCCCCCTCGCGACTTTCGGGGGCTTAGTTCCTTCTCCCCGACTGCTTATGGGGCCCCACAGGGCTTTAAAGGGTTTAGGCTTAGGGTTTAGGGGGGCTTTTCGGCTTCTAGAGAGCATGGGCTTCGTAGAGATGTAACTATGAGGTTTCATAGGGGGTCTGGTCGAGTCTGTTAAAGTTTGGGGATCCTTCTTATGCTTTCTCTTCAATAGGATCTGCTACTTAACGCCATTGACATCGGCAGGCTTGGCTCGTAAGGTGCTTTTTTCTGGGATATTTGCCCTAGGGTTTGGGGGGCTTAGGGCCTTGAAGGCTGACACCAGGGATGTATAAATAGGGTTCTTCTATAAGAGATGGCTTGGAATTGAAGCCTTTCCTTGCCGGGGCCTGAACTACCACACTCCAAACCACCCCCCCCCCCCAAACCGCCGAATTCTAGGTCACTATAATCGGGGCACCGCTGCGTAGTCGCTCTGCCAACTGCCGCATCTTCCCCGTCAAGTGCTTCGGCAAAGGCCTCAAAATAGGGTTCAGGGTTATAGGCTTAGGACATATACGGTTTGAGATGTTTAGGCCGTATAGATTAACGCTACAGCGCTACAACCCTCCCACCTCACCTGTCCAATAGCGGCAGGTTGACGACAGGAAATCACGGATTGGGGTCAAAACCCTGAAACACCAAGAGACAACTGTACCCATGGGGCTCAGTCGAATCAGTTATCAGGGCATATGTGGGTCGCAGTTAGGATACCCCTCCGCGAGCGTACTCGTAGCCTCAAAGTTCAAGCATGCCCAACGAAATAAGTCTCATGATCCTGCAAGCACAACCAGAAATGCCAAGGCCCCACCCACAAGCAAATCGACCCTGATCTCCCTCAACCCTCTGACCCAAACCCGAAACTCGAAACCTAACACCAGACCAGAGCACAAACTAAACCTAAACCTAAACCCAAAACCCAAAACCCTAAACCTAACCTAACCCTAAACCCTATAACCCTATAACCCTAAACCTAACCGTAAACCCTAAACCCTAAAGCCTAAACCCCAAACCGCTGCCGCCAGGTTTCGTGTGCAAGTCGAAGCACACCACGAGTCGCACGCGACGCCCCGCCGCGCGGCAGAGGCCCGTAAAGGCGAGGGCAGTGGCCAAATGCGAGCCCTGGTCTGGTTTTGGGCTCTTGGGGTTCTTTAGGGTTTTTGGGGTTTTGGGCTTTCAGGGTGTTTAGGGGTTTAGGGGTTCAGGGTTTAGGGGTTTAGGGTTCACTTTATAAGTGTCTACAAAGTTTAAGCTTTAGGGGTTTCGGCTTAACTTTATAAGTGCCTACAAAATTTAGGGTTTCGGGTTTTTTAAACTGCAGTGTCCCTTTCCGGGTTTAGGGTTGAGGGGTATAGGGTGAACTGTTATAAGTGTCTACAGAGTTTGGGGTTTAGGGTTTAGGGCGTCTTGCCCTGACGTCTTGGGGTTTGGGGCTTTGTCACTTGGGCTACGGGTTCAGGATGACTTGCGGTTTAAGGCTTTGGGTTGGGCCTGAGGCTTGCCTGTTGTTTGGGGTTTAGAGTTTAGAGGTTTAGGGGTTTGGGGATGGTTTGGGGTGTAGGGTTTAGGGGTTTAGGGTTTTAGCGTGAAGTCTTCCTCTGGGGCAGAAGAAGGTTCGGGTTGTGTTGAGCATGAGAGCGGGAACAAATCTCGATCACGAATCTGCACATTCCAGGTCGTGAATTAGGACCAACGCGGTGCCTGCGACATGGTGGCAGCGACTACGGTCCGTGAAGCAGCACTAATCTGAAAGCCTCTGAGCACTCAAACACCTTATGTTTGCCGATGTCCGCCTCCCAGTACTGTGCTGCTCGGCAGGCGGCTAGAAGAGGATGCTCCTGCCGTGCTCTGGGAAAGCGTGCAACTCTGGCCGAACAAAACCATGCACAACGTATCGAAAGGTATGGTTATGAACATACACAGATACCCCGAAATTGACAGAAGCAAGGCTCTTGCGGACTCTTGAGAACTTATCTACTCTATATGCACCCTAAACATCCCCATAAACAAATCCTAAAACACCTACGATTCAGAGTCCACAACGCTCAGCGCAGGCCCCAGCGGATTAAGGCGATCCGGGGTCGAGGCACTGAAGACGCGGCCACGGTCTAGGATAGGGTTTAGGGTTTAGGGGTTTAGGAGTTTAGGGTTTAGGGTTTAGGGGTTTACAGTTTAGGGTTTAGGGTAACTTGAAGTCAATTCCAGGATAGAGTTTAGGGTTTAGGGGTTTACGGTTTAGGGTTTAGGGTAACTTGAAGTCAATTCCAGGGTAGGGTTTAGGGTTTAGGGGTTTACGGTTTAGGGTTTAGGGTAACTTGAAGTCAATTCCAGGATAGGGTTTAGGGTTTAGGGGTTTACGGGTTAGGGTAACTTGAAGTCAATTCCGGTACTGGCCCCTCCTTGGTATTGCTCGAAGGCACGACCTGGGTCGCAGCGAAAGAAGGGGGTGCTGCTGCCAAGGCTTTAGGGCCAGAGTTTCGATTCCATGATGCACTGGAGCTTTAGATGTGTTGTGTGGTTTGACGGAACATGGTAGCTGCCTATCAAAAGCAGCAGGACAGGCTTCCCGACAAACGCAACTGTGAAGGTCTTTTTGAGAAAATTCCACCACTGCGCCCACGAGAATCTGCATGCGTTAGCATTTCATATCTGCATACTGCGAACTTCTCAGGCAGGGCATTGCAAAACGAACCCATCCATGTTGGCAATCTGGGCAGGCAAATTAAAACAAACGACTTCCTCGAACCCGAAGTGAGGTCGTACGTGCGGTTTCATGTGTAGCTAGACTAGTACGAAAACCCCTACTTTACGGACCTGTTTTCTGAGTCCTTGTACCTTGCGGTACAGGGATAACATAACTGCCGAACGAAGTACAGACATGCCGGACCATAACTGCCGAAGCGAAACAGACGCAAATTGTGTTGGCCAGTTTTCGTTGTCAGTACATACCAAAACATTCATATCTACAGCATCTGCACACACATATACCCAAGCAAAGACGACATGTGTGAAACCGCTTATTTGTTTGCTCATGATTTATCCAGAGCACGAATATACTGCCACTGAAGCCAAGGCCAGTGCAGAAAGCTTCAGCCTCTGGACCAAGGCGGTGCCAGACAGGGACAGCACGTCCCTAGGAGCAGATGCGGGGTTTCACGTTCAGGGCTCGCTGGGCCTGTGCTCTTGAGGACTGATGTTGTTTTGGGATCTGGAGACGTTGGGCTCTTCAGGGTTTTGGGTTTAGGGTTATATAGGACCTGGAGGATGTACATAAGGCTTGGAGCCAGCCCGGGGCTTTGAACCTCTTGTTCTCCAGCAGACGCTGTCCTTGCCTTCTGGGAACTGACAGGGTTTAGGCTTCAGGGGTCATCTTTTTGGCAAGGCAAAGAGCTTTCCAGTGCGACTACTCGGCTGAGCCTTTGTGGCAACCTAGGAGTCTTCCCAAGGCTGCGAAAGTTTACAGCTCCAGCGCCCCCCTTCAGGGTTCAAGAGATTGAGGTTTGGGGGCAGCGTTTCCTTACCTTTGGTTAGTAGGGAATGGAGGAAGCCGAACCCCCCAGCCCCGAACTTCAAACCCTCCGGAAACCTGCAAAACCAACCGTAGGCCCAGGTCCGTGATGAACAAACATACGTACAGTAGGAGACCCAAAAGTTGGAAACCCAATAGCCTCAATCCTTAAGCATATAATGTTCCGGGAATCCCAGATCTACTTGTCCTTCATCCCGGTTTGCCGACTTCTGGGGGTTTACCATATCTCTCGGCCTTGACTGCTTTGAGGACTGTGCGCAGCAGGAGAGAAATGGCTCGATCATCCTAGAGATCTACACTGATTTTGACATCACGCAAAACTTCCAGGGTTCTATGCCGTCCTCTATATACTCTACTGTACTCTACTCTATTCTACTGTGCTCTACTCTATTCTACTCTAGTCTACTCTATTCTACTCTCTTCTACTCTATTCTACTATATTCTACTATACACTTACTTTCGGGAGCCCCTCAAAAGAGCACTTCTTGACTCGGGGATCGCAGCTGAACATAGGCTGGACTCTATGCCCCCGGCGCTGGCGCGACTCGGGCATTCGATAGCCTTGCGGCGATTTCAGGAACAATTGCCCCCAAACCGCGCTACATGTAAACTTGTCTAAACTGACGTCCCTGCAAAGGGGGTATAGGGTTCAGTAGCTCATGTTTCAAGGTGTTCGACCCTAAGATGATGAAGATTTGTGGCCTGATAAGTAGGGTCGTTGGGAGTGTCTTCAACAGTACAGTACAACCTTTCATGATCGTGCTTTCCATGCTGACCCCATTAAACGAATGCCAACTAGCAGCAGGTTCCGTCTCGTTTTCGCTGAGGATTCAGCCTCGACCATTAGCAAGCCTCCTCTCCCTCCCCTGGCTCCCGGGATCGCGGGTTCAGGCGCCGAGAGCGTCGGGGCCGCAACCTCCAACAAATGCTTGCCAAAGACTGAACCAATGAGTTATCCGAGTCCTAAACCCTAAACCCTTATAAACCCTTTCGGAACTGCAGGAGTAGCTGAACAGCTCGAGGCGCCAGAGCCGAAATGATGTTATAACCAATCCCGGAGAACCATCGGAAGATAACTAGTACTCGAAACCACAACAGCTCTAACCTAATCTACGGCTCTATAGGAAACAACCCTAACCCCCCAGGTACCTACTATATAGGGTACTAGAGCCCCTAGGGCCCTATATAGTAGGTACCTGGGGGGTTAGGGCAACATAAAGAACACGGATGTTGAATTACCAAGCACTTCAAGCCGAAGCACGGTAAGATTTCCCTAGGCTTCCCGACGCAGTAGCCTTCAGCAGGGGATGGCTGCAAACCTTTGCATTTCAATGTTCGGCTGCGGTGTTGCAGGGTTCAAGGTCCTGCGATGCTTCGGGGTTCTTGGTTTTGATTTTAGGTTTTCCGGGTGCGAATCTCCAAGCGGATGTTTCGGTGTTTTTTTAAGGGCTGTGGGACTCTAGAGCTGCACCGACTCAGAGAGAGGGTGTAGGGGTTTTTGATTATGTCTCTGGCATTCAGGAATGTCTAGTGGGGGTCTTGGTGGAAGCCTTGGTTTATGTAATGAAAAGACATATCTTTAGGTTCAAGATCGTTTGTTGGGAATCAATCCGTGCTTTTGGGAAAGCCAAAGGACTATGATCAACTGATCACTAGTATCTGACCGGTCGGAAAGCGACAAGGGAGCTGGGGGATGTTGGGTTTCAGAGAGGAAGGGCTAATGCTGTTGCCTTCCGTGTTTTGTACTATGCTTCTGGTTGCCTATGGATTTGGGAATACTATAACTATGCAGACATAGACAACTACATTTTGACCAATTACTCATGCTTTCACTGTATAGTATAGTCCATGGAAATAACGAAGTCAGTGCTTCGAATCTGGTACGCTCAGTTTCATTAAAAGGCTCTTTTCTGGATTACCTGTAAGTATGCGTTGGGCTGTTGGGCCCTCT